GGGGCGGCGGCAGTCCCCCCAGTTTGTTGGGCAAACAAAGCCAGTCGGGCAATATTCGCTTCACAGTCGGGTGCAATATTGGCTTATTAGTATTTTTGCACAAGTGAACATAACAAATCCTACAAGGTGATTGGTCAAATTTGACGTATTAATCTGTTATATTCACCTACAGGTGAATATAACACCTAAAGGTGAATATAACAAAATCTTCGTCGAGGTGAATATTCCCCGATAATCACCGAGCCTGAGGCGAATAATTGTTAATTATATAAAAATAAATGGGACAAATTCTGTCAATTTTGTGGAAAATTCTGTCAATTTTGTGGGAAATATCAGTGGTATCTAATAGGAATTTTTCGTAATCATTCCCCCGCCCCCGTCGACAACAATTTTGGAAAGTTTCTCCGGAAAATTTTTTTTGACAACTTGAGTACAATCCGAAAAGGTCGGGCAAATTTCTATCCGCCCCCCTAATTTTTTCCTTCCCGTACGCCCATGCGCTGAGTTCAAATCCGAAAGTTCCCATGCAGTTTAATCACAAAATGCTATTTTATGTTCAATAATTTCACGACAAATGTTTCATTGTTCAACGACACGGATCGATGACGATGCACGAAGACCGGTTTTGCTCGAATCATTTCGAGTTATGCAATCTTATGCGTGTATAGGACGTAAAAAACATATCTTAATTGTCTACAACTTTGAGAAAGTACAAATAACGCTTTCTAAAATCCTCAGTTCTAGATATATATCTATAAAATCACAAGGACATTTATGCGAAGTCTTTTGGCTATGTCACTGGCCTGAAAAATAACTCTTTTGACACGATCAAGGTATTTAAAACAAAAGTAACACGAAGCCAACGTAACAGCAAAGACGACGCTAAAATGAAATATTATCGATTGGTTGCTGGTAGAACACTTACGACAAGATCAATCTTAAATAACCTTAAACTATAAGAATAAATGTTTACATCGAAGACAAAGATCAGTCCCAAAGTGCTCTGTATTCTGTAAATTCTGTAATGCTCTATATTCTATAAACTTACGACGAAGTGGAGAAATGTGTGCATATATTTGGTGATTTCAACGTATATGCATGGAAGCCTTCTTTCCAATAATATTCGGTTATCGCGCAGTATATAACACCAACTCATGTAATAGTTCAAATGTAATGATAAGTTATCTCTTCAATTACATCTCACAAACTGTGTTGAAAATTTAAATGCTGATCCATTACATATAGTCTATAGATTACCGTTTTTTAACGGCAGAGTATTAGTGTTTGGAGGTAGGTGCCGTTTGTGGTCCAAGGCCGCGACTAGCCTTGATGGCAAGAAGTATTGCCATAGCAGCTGCGCAGCAACAATGAGAGCAACAATCAGTAATATTAGCAGCAAAAAGAGATAGCCATGACAATTCTGCCAAGGCATACCTCCGGCACCAGTCACACTGACAAGTCAGTGGAAATAAAATACAATGTATAGTGGTCTATACATCCTATTCCTGTGAGATTAAAAAAAACAACAAAAAAAACACCAAAAAACAACACCAAAAAAAACAACAAACAAACCAAACAACCCCCCCCAAAAAAAAAAAAAAAAACCCCAAAACTGACAGACTACCAGATAAAATCCTCTAGAATATCATGGGTTTTGGGTGGGTGGGGAAAAAGTAACGAGGCGCTAAACTTGCTGCAACTAGGCAAAGCATACAATGGCAGAATGAATACCCAGACCAAAGCAATGATCACAAGGCGCGAAACAACCCCCTTTGATCGATATGACGTCATGGACTCCCCTCAGCGGATGTAGCATGCATAATACATCCGCCGTTAACCTTGCTTAAATATATTTAACCACATATATCGTTGTATAAAACATTTTGATCGCATGTAACCAATTATTTCTTATGCCAGAGACATAGCCCAAAGACTTAGCATTAACGTCCTTATAATTTTATAGAGATAGATTCAGAACTAAGCCTAAGGATATTAGAAGGAATTATCTGTACTTTCCGCTCAAAGTTGTTGACAAGATAATGAAGATATGTTGTTTACGTGCAGCACGCATAAGATTGCATAACTCAAAATGATTGGAGCAAAACCGGTCTTTTGTTAAAAGGAAGAATGGTTGATAGAAATTGTTCCTTTTGAGTGACATAATCGTGTAGCGTCATCGACCCGTGTCGTTGAACAACGAAAAAATTTGCTGTGAAATTAGTGAAGATAAAACAGCAGTTTGTGAGAACTTTTCGGGTCTACGGTGTGGGAACTTTTCGGATTTGAACTCAGCGTGTTCGAAAGTGCATGTTAGTTCCTGTAAAAATATTTCAGATCTAAGACATGCTTAATGAAATCGTTTTCTAGTCATGCACTTTTCGAGTTCACAACACACGGCGAACTAATTGTAATATTCGTCCTTCAATTGAAGTTGTGTTGTTAATTTATTGTTCTGAAATATTCCGTTGCGTACTACAAATGGTACTTCAATGGTACAGTTCATCGTCCTTCGATATGGAATGACCCTTACTGACCTCTAGGTAGAATAGTTCAGAAATCATACATTAAAAATTATCTTGTACTTATCCAGTTTAAATAGTTTAATCTGCATGGTCTTATTGTCTACTTGTCAGTCAATTCAATCAGTGCTGTTCTGAAATATTTCTTTTAGTGGTTTCGAATGTACTTGCTGTATAACTGAGTTTAAAACAGTTGATGATAATATAATGATGAGATAATTCAGCAATAGATGATTCCCGTATTACGTTTCCATAGCGCTTTGCATTGTGGTTATAGTGGTATCACTGATAAAGATAGCGGCCTCGAATGAAAATATTGAATGTTTTCGCGGATATTTTACTGTTGGCTATCGTCCACCTAGCTTTTTTAAAAGTTCTTGCACGGGGCATGACAAAAAATAAGCCATCTTGAATATCATTCAGTGATATACCACTATAACCACAATGCAAAGCGCTACGAAAACGTAATAAGGGGAATCATCTATTGCCAATAAGGAATGGCTATATGGGGAATTGTTGCTTTCACAACTGTTAGTGGTAAATTTAACGTTCGTTTTATAGTTTTGTTAAACCTAATGTTACTGGTAATTTATTAATATTTTAGTGCTTTCGAATATAACGGAGTTTAAAGCATTTGGTAATAAAACTGATGAAATAGTCCAAGGTGACAACATAACCCTATCCTGTACAACCACAGTCGGGGAACCATTACCAATTATACAAATGCGAAAAGGAATCACAGTTCTCAACTCTTCCACGGCGAGCAGCATCAGTCCGACAACTCTGCTGTATAGTTTTGAGCGAATTTCGAAAGATGCAAGTGGAACTTACTCTTGTCAAGTAAATACAGATGGGTTTACACCAACGCGAAATTTACAGTTGGATGTGAAATGTGAGTGGAAGTTAAGATTCAATTTAATGTTTGCGACAAAGTTACACACCACTTTTTATGCTTTGTATATAGCATGATGAAAAGTTTACATTGCTATAGTACCATATAGAAATGATAAAAGAGAAGAGTGCGATATTGAGGAATAAATTCAGTCAAATGAAAGGGACAAATACACCTTTCCGGAAAACACGTCACTTTGACTATAGAGCCTCGCTTTCGTGTTTGTGACATAAGTTAAATCCCAGCATAGGTGACGAGGCCCTGTATATGGCAGGTGACGTGTGGACTTCCTGGAAGAGAGTAATGGGGGCCAAATTTATGTCCCGTATATCGGTATATGTAAGTATACCCACAGGAGCCCAAGCGTTGATCTGTGTTAGTGTTGTATGTTTTTCAGTTTATTTATTTTAGTGTCTTTACATTGCCTTTTAATTGAATTATAACACTAAATTACACTAATATGTCATATAATAATAATACTCCTATAGTCGAACATATAATAACAACATATAAGTTGATTTGTATTGGTATGTTTTTCAGTTTATTTAAGATCTATTATTAGCTTATATAAAAGCACCGCCTTTCGAACCTGACAGCCCGTTCGCAGAATGTCAGGTTCGAACGGGCTGTCAGGTTCGAAAGGCGGTGCTTTTATATAAGCTAATAATAGATCTTAAATAAACTGAAAAAAATACAAATCAACTTATATGTTCTTATTATATGTTCGACTATAGGAGTATTATTATTATATGACATATTAGTGTAATTTAGTGTTATAATTCAATTAAAAGGCAATATAAGGACACTAAAATAAATAAACTGAAAAACATACAACACTAACACAGATCAACGCTTGGGCTCCCTGTGGTATACCGAATGTAAAATCATGCGCCCATTTGCTGCAATGAAATCTCCTTTTTAGCAACAGCGACAAAACGCAGCAATTCAGTAAAATGCAGTAATTCAGTAAAATGCAGTAAATATAAATTCCGGGATTCACATATTTAATCATCAAGTTTAAAATGTAGTGGGTGACATAGGAATAGTTGTTCACTGAATTTCGACGTTTATATTTATTTAGGCCGTCCGTAATCTCTATATGGCGAGTACCGCCGCCATGCATGGTTATTTATTTTATGTCGGTTCTAGGTTCCTCCCAAACTTTAATAATATCGCTCGAAATACAACTACAAAAAACCTGTTTTCGCACTGAATTTGAAAAAAATTGCACTTCTCCCAGTCAATCGCATTAGATCATTTTTCCACCTATATTATACAATTAATAGAGAGTTTAAGCTTCGCGTTAAAGGTCAAACGGCGAACGCCAGACAAAGAAAAAATTTACAGTGTCAGGCAATAAAGAGTACTTAAATAAACTTGCTGTTTTAAAACTGAAATACATAATTATTCTTTCGACACAAGAAAAAAAATATGAAACGAAAACGTTCAACGAAAATTTTGCCAAGAAAGTTCGAACCTGCCGTTTGCCTTTCCCGGAAACGTGAAGCTTAAACTCCCTAATGTTATCGCCCTTTTTAGGGCGCACTTAAGTTACACCATACAGGCTTTGTTTTGCTAACCCTCGCCACCATTTTGTATTTTTTGGTGGAAGTAAATGTAAATGTTCCCCATAATGTACATGCATGCTCTCTTTACGAATGTAACCCCTAGTTACATTAAATACAAGTGATACAATACTAACTATTAACAGTAATAAACCAATTACAAGTGAGAAATTTTTTATTGTTACCTACTCTGACTACCTCCTCTAGATCCTCCAGAAATTGATAGATCTGTAAAAACGGAACAGGTTGGTTGTCTTGGAAGGCTGATATCGATAACTTGCGAAGCATCCGGTGATCCAGAGCCTGATGTAAACCTTATTGGACCTGGTGGAATAGGTCTACCTATAAAGGGATTTGTGTTAAAGGAATTTGGAACTTATCGATGTGAAGCGTTCAGTAGACTGGGAAATGACTCACGTAACATCACTGTTAGTCAAGCGACAGGTATATCATTAATATCCCATCCAGGCACAACATATAAGCTGCGAGTATACACTTTCCAATAGGAGGGCCTGCTCGCAAACTAAGCACCGCATCATTCACAGGCTCTCGTGCCTCATAAGAGGGCCTGCGGAATGTTGTGAACAAAATGGCGATATACACTCCTGCATACGCCATAGCCACGCCATAACCTACGCGGATATCGCAAATAAATTTGATATCGAAACGTCCCGGTATTTATGAAGTCAAGGAAAAATTTGAATCGATTTAAGTAATTTATTCCTCAGGGGTCGGCTGTTCAAATCTGGATTAGTGCTGTAACCATTGGTTAAAATTGTACCCGCTATTTTAATTTATGTATTTCTGCATGTCTGTTTATTTCAAAACATCAGAGAAGAAAACTCCTACTGATCCATACAAGATTTCTGAAGAAATTTTATACCAGATTTCTGAAGAAATTTTATATCAGATTTCTGAAGAAATTTTATACCAGATTTCTGAAGAAATTTTATACCAGATTTCTAAAGAAGTTTTATACCAGATTTCTGAAGAAATTTTTCCAAATAAACAAGGGAAGTTTGGGAAGTTTGCTTTGAACTTTAGGTTAACCTAGGGTTAGGCTGATCCAACATTGAACAACTGGCCCATGATATCCAAACTCCTACAGATACGGTTGTCATTTTTTTCCCGATTTTGGCTTATGAATTATTAACGAATTTTAGACTGCATCGTATTCTGTATGAACTGATACTACTGACAGTATTGTATTGCTTGGCCTATAATGTATGCAGTCTGGTAACACTCTGGTTAAAATGTCCTAGTTAACTTTCCCTGTTAACACTATTTGGGAATAACTTGATATTCCTGGTTCAACTTCCTGTTCATTTTACTCATTTCCTACCATAATCTGAGTAATGTAACCACGAATCTGGTTATATTTGACCAGATCGTCCTTGTTAAAATAGCCAGACTATGTATTGTTTGGCCTGCTCGCAAGCCGAAATTTCGTTCAAAGGAAAACCGAATTTTCGGGGGGGGGGACTGCGAGCAGGCTATGTATTTTTAGTACAATAAATAACCAAGAGGCTCTGGCTATTTATCCTTCTAACATACTGTAGTTTGGTTAAATTAACCAGGAGGTCCTGGTCAATATAATTATAGTAGTAGGGAAAATATTAAATAACCAAGAATATTACGTTAACCCAAAAAGGGTTATTTCTAGGTTAACCCGGAAAATTCTAACCAGAGTGTTTTTAAAGTGTGATATTGTATTGTAATCTTGAACTGTCTGCGCCAGTGTAGGTTGTGCCAATATAAATAACAAACTTCGTTGGTATATAGGGGTGCAACTACCTGAAAAAATATAAGGAGAATTTCGACGTTTCGAGCGAAGGTTCTTCGTCTGGAGTTACTGACTGGAGTTACTGCCTGGAGTTACTGACTGGAGTTACTGACTGGAGTTACTGCCTGGAGTTACTGACTGGAGTTACTGACTTGAGTTACTGACTGGAGTTAGTAACTTCAGACGATCAAAGGGCATTCGCTCGAAACGTGGAAATTCTCCTTATATTTTTCAGGTAGTTGCATCAGCAACGAAAGCATGTTATTGGTATTGTATTGTACTAAATGCACTGTTAGTATTGGTCTGTACTGCATTCTGCAGTATGTACCATGATGTCCTGTACTGCGCTTCATTCATGTACACTATAATGTAATTAACTCCATGATACTCTCTATTAATCTACTAGCTAAACCTAAAGAGCCATCATTCTCAGAAGAATGTACTTTTACTAAACTCACCTGGCAAAAATCATCTGACAAAAGTGTAAAATATACTTTACAAGTGAGAGAAGAGGGATCAAGCGGTGCCTGGGGTGATATAATAACATCAATTGATACGACTTACAGTCCATCAACGAATGAAACTCTCAGTAAAAATAAAGATTATGAATTTCGAGTTGTTGCCACAAACTGCGTTGGAAGTACGGAAAACAAGGCGTGCATTGTCAAAGGTAAGGGAAAACAGTGATTGTTATAAATTCGTAACATAAGTACATTTTACTGCTAGTATGTGCTTGCTAGCTTGCATGATTACCTGGTATAATTGACTGGAGTGATTTTTAAGGAAGACCATCTAAGAAGATTTTTTTAAAGAACTTCATTGGGTTAATATTTACAATAATTATATTAACAAATAATTAGACAAAGATACACTACTTTTAGAATAACAACAACAAAAGAACCCAAATGGGAAAAGTGCGGACTCCCGGGACTCCAAGTCTCATGCAGGGCACTTCATTTGCATATTACAAAAACCTCGGATCTAAATTACTGAATTCAGATAAAAAACCTGAGCAAAATATTTTGTGCTGCCACGATACGCTAGCAGCTCCTGTTTGAAATGTTCATGCAATGGCTCTTAGAATCATTCCACATAAACAAACCATACTTTTGCGGCTCACCACAGTTAATAAAATAGGACTCACTGACAAAAGCAGTCAACAACAAAAGCAAAATGCCTATGAAGTGAGTCATTGCCTGAAAATGAGTGCGTAATCCTGCTTTGGATTCTCAATTCATTCGCTTATCCCATGTCTGTGTTAGAAGCGGCTCTCTGATTCGTTCCGAGCAGGTGAGTTTTTTCAAACTCACCTGATCAAACTTAAGTGCAACCATGGATAATAAAATAAATGGATTGGAAACGTCTGACGTCATTGACTGCATCCTTGTTGAAAAACGTGACGTCACGCGTATTGCGAATGTTACCAAAGTTCTCGGCATATTTGTTGTTTTGCTATATTTTCCACTTTAAAAGGGTGATCTTGAAGCGTAAACTGGTCTAATTGTTTTAAAAACATGCCTAAGCCACGACAAAGTATTCAAGGTAAATGTTTTTCGTCTTTGTTTTGTATTTTTTTACATTTGTAGCTACGAAATTGGCGTCACAAATTTTAACGAAATTTGCGATGTATTTTTCACTGTTTAGTGCTTGAAATATTTGCTAAAATTGACTGGGAATACTTAGAGTTTTCATCGTAGAATGGCGTGGTTACATTTATTTGCTCTTTGACTAAAATGTTTAGCTGTATTATTGCTAAACATGCCGTTTTTGAGAATTTGATTTTCAACTAGGTTGAGGCATCCAACCACGCCATCAATCACAGTAAAAACATTAGGTCACGTCAGCTAGTTTCCTATCCATTTATTTTATTATCCATGGTGCAACTATTCAGAAACATACAAACGAACGGGAGGCTGGGTCACGTTTCCTGAACTCACCTCGTTTCGCTCGTTGAGTTCGGGAAACTTGCAGCCTCTCTCGTTGCATCGATCCGGAACGAACCTCCCTGCAAGTATGTTTGTTAAAAACTGAAAAACTGACTACGGATCATGGAAGTCAGTTGAAGGAACGGGGGGGAGTTGATAAGATGGCATCATTCAGAACATTCGAATTTGTTACTCGCATGAACAGTAACTTTTCAGAATACTTTTCTTCACTCTTATCTTTAGTAAGTAAATAAGTAAGTAGCGGAGGAGCGAGGTTGTGCTAATCATCCTTACTTGCAGCTGAGCTAGCTAAGCAATCTCGTACCCAGAGCCATCGGGTTGAGACCTAAGCTGAATTGCGAATGATGCAGCTCAACTTGATCAAGTCGAAGGCTCCCCAAGGGCGCCTGTGGCAGCCACCTGCTGACCTGCATACTGCATAACTCCTGACTGATCATAGAGCACAGCGACGGTGGAAGGGTCAGTTAGAGGATAATCCCAACCCACCCTGTCAACATTCGCTGCGGGAAGAACTGGAGAAAGCCCACGATTTTCGGCAGAGCGTGATCTAACTCTTTTCACATGAATGTCTTGTTGAGTCCGCAACGAGAATGGAACCGACGGAGGTGAAGGCCCTTGCTTTAAAGATTGCGCCACCGAAGCCCTGAACAGCATTTTCACTTTTTTATAAATTATATTGTGCAAAAAAGTTTGTTCTGATAAAAAATAATGGTAAAGAGAAATGTCGGAGTTTTAGTGTTTGAATTCAGTAGTTTGGGGTTGTTGTCGAAGGTTTTGTGTGTGTGTGTGAGGGGGGGGGGGGGGGGGGGGGGGGTTATCATAGATTCGAGCCATGGGAAGCATTCTCACATATGTGTTCTTCATATCGCCAGGACGTTTCTCATCAATTACTAAATTAATGTAGGTAACCCTTACCCTATTGCAGGTTTTGCTTATAATTTTAATGACGAATATTTTAGTTGGTTATCTCGTCAGATGTCAAGGTTTGTCTCGTACTGTATTTTCAATTATCATTAAAGCGTATCTAGAATTGGTCGGTCAAATCGTGAGGTGTAACGTACACTTAATGTGAATGAGGTCGGTCTCCATTGACCTAATTACTGAATCTTTCTTTTTTTATTTGTGGCTTGACAGGACAAACGTCAGGAGAACGTTCTAGTGACAGCAGCAATGCCGGTGTTATCGCGGGATCAGTAATTGCAGTTTTGGTGGTCATACTAATTATTGTCATTGTCGCAGTTTATTGTAGGAAGAGAAAACGAGGTACAGGTGTAATTCATATCGTTCATTAATTCTTTAAAAATTTAAAACATGTTTTAAAGTTTGTAAGTTCCCGACAGCCAGGTTTAATATCAGTCATGTTTTCACCTGCTACTTTGGTTTTTGACTAAATGAATGGAAAGCCCAGTTGAATTGCTAGCTTTGCCATATTTTCCCGATCACCCTAACCCTAAGAGATGCCTGCGGCGGAGGATCGCCTAGTGTCTTCGTCAGGGGTAATCTAAAGTCGCTCTATACTCATGGGATGACCTCATCTGCCAACATGGACCAGCGACTAACCATTAAATTTTGATTAAATTGTTTTAAATAATTAACAATTATTGGATGAGGTTTTTGTAATATGCGGAATTATAAAGGTCGAGGTAAGCGTTATCGGCGAGGCTGATAACGCTTACCGAGACCTTGATAATTTTGCATATCGCAAAAACCAAATTCAATAATTGTTTTATTATACATTTGTTTGTGTTAAATAGATACCGCTTGCTAATCATCGCAGGCTTATTTGCAGATAACTCAGTTATCTGCTAGCAGATGATAACTGAATTTTCTGTAGGTTGCGTAATTGCGCGATTTAACTGTAAGCTCTTAGCCAATCAAATTGCTTTTACCAACTACAATATATAATAATAGTTATTATTGACAATTTAATCAAAATGTAATGGCTAGTCGCTGGTCCATGACTGTTTTTGTTATGGTTGGTGTATGCATATTATTATTCTGCGCGTACAGACAAGAATTGCTTGTACGTTGCCCCTATAACGAAAATAAACAAATTAATGATACCGTCAGTCGATGAGAAATATCATTTAAAGTCATCGTGTCAAATTTCATGACGATCGGACTCAAAATGAAGGAGCCTTGGGCTTTTTTCGAAGAGCGTCGCCGCAAATTTTTTTTCCGTAGACAGTCGGACTCCTCATTGATAGTCGGACGCATCATTGATCCGCGTCCAGGCCTCCGCGCGTTATCAATCAATCCCTTCGTAACTCACTGGTACACCACATATCCATCACTCCACGTTGTTCTTCTTCGACCACGTGTAGAAAAATGAACGATTTACTTCGCGATGCCATAATAAATCTACAAACTTGTTTTTCTGGTTCCGAAAATACTCAAGAACGGTTATTGCGAGTTAAAACTATTAACTATATATCATCCCTTTTGAAGAGAATCAGGATAAGATAACTAGCGTGCGAGGAAATACTGGAAGATTCAAAGCGACACTGAATCAATACCACTTTTCACGAATAGAAGTATTGCAGAATACCCTGTGTACGGAATACATATCATGTAGCCCGGCCACTATTTCACTGGATACGTATATACCAGATATTACTGCCTCATTCTAATATACCAGTTGAAACTAATTACTAAGACAATATTACGAATTGATACTATAAAGGAAATATCATGGAAGACTTTTAATGTTTAATATTATGCTTAGTATGTTTTATAATATAAAATATTTCTCCCAGCGACGCTAATTAATCATAATCTGTCAAACACCAATGTCCGGTTGTGAGGAACATATTTGCATATATATTACACCACATTTAAGCTCTC